CCCCAGAACCACCCCGGGGTGCCCAGTCACCGCAGCACAACGCCCCTGCAAAGCGGCTGGAGGAGCCGACAGCATTCGGGGTCCACAGGACCCACTGGGGCCAGATGCTTCATTAACCGTAGAGGCTGAAATACTCCTTCAGGGGCTCTGGACCCAGGAGAAACGGGGCCATTGCTCACTGCAGGTAGAAAAGGTGTCTCTCTACCCAGTGACTATGAGAAAGGCCTAGAGACGGACAAATGACCGTGAGCAAAACAGCTTTTCTGCTGAAAATCACCTCATCAGGCTCATAAAAAATGACGGACGGGCTGGACACCCTCTGACCATCCCAAGGGGATTTCTGGGGAAGATCTTTTAGCAGCTCCATTTGTGGATTTGGGGCTGAACGGCTATTTCAGAGAGAAGAGCTGGCAGCCTGAAAAATGAGAGCATTGCTCAGCAAAGCTCTGAGTTAACTTCTTTTTGCGCATGTCTTTATCTGGAAGTGGACGCCAGCCAGGGTTAAACCCAAAATACGATTTATAGGAGCAACCCCAAAGACCCAACGATTTGTAGCAGCCTAGAAATGGCATTTCGTGTCTACGAGCTCGCAGCAGCACAGGCTAATTAACACCTGGATTTATTTCCCATTAAAGTAGGAAATTCTTACTGATATTATTTTTTTTCCCACAAAATACCAGATTGCGCACGCAGTATGCGACCCCCCGGCCGTGCCTGGGAGAAGGGACGGCTCAGAGCAGCAGCGACGCAGGAACAGCTCGGCGCAGGTTGCGATTTGGGCACATTTGCAGGGGCAGCCAACAAATGCAACCGAATCAAACCCAAGTGGCCTCATGGGGTTTACACCGGGAACTCCCAAGGATATGGAGCCTGAAAGCTTTTTCTGTCCTTTATTCAGCTCTGTTGGGCTCCCCAGGTACCTGCTGGTTTGGGCCTTAAATCCGAGTCTGAAAGGAGATGAATCTCTGTGCATCCCTCTTTTCTGTGTCTCTTATAAAGTCCTTTTATATCTATATATCTACATCTATATCTACATCTATATATCTATATCTGTATCTATATATCTATATCTATATCTGTGTATCATCTACATCTATATCTACATATTTATCTGTATCTATACTACAACTATATCTATATCTATACATGTATCTGTATCTATATATCTATATCTATACCTACATCTTTATCTATATCTATCTATATCTATATCTGTATCTGTATCTGTATCTGTATCTGTATCTATATATCTGTATCTATACAGCTGTAGCTATGTCCATATCCATATCTATACCATCTATGTCTACTTCTACATCATCTATCAATACCATCCATATCTATATCATTGATGCCTATACCTATATGTACATCTACGTCTGTATCATCTATATCTCTACTGTCTCTACCTGTATCATCTATACCTGTATCTATGGCTATAGATATCTATACTTTCCCATACACAAAGCCTCAGAGCAGCAGGGATGTGCATGCCCAGACATGCCCCCCCCCTTCCTCCCCGAATTCAGATAAAAATCTCTCAAAATCTTGGTTAAACCACCAAAACCTTGCGGTGCGATGGGGCCTGGCTTGCAGCACCTCAGCTCGGGGCACAGCCGCCGCGAGCACCCTCGCCTGGCTCTCACATCAGCACCTTCTTGCTGAAAACCCCCACGCCGGCCCCCTCGTCCCCTGCCCTGTCCCCTGCCCGGGTGTGCTGGGCCA